TGAGTCGATCCTCCAGAGTAGTACGTATTTTTTAACAATACATACACAAATACACACCTTACTGATGTTAAAATAATCTGGTAATGTTGTTTTTCAGGACGGACACGCTGATCCAGACGACGATCCGCAACAAGTTCGCGGAGTGCACCGTGCTCACCATCGCGCACAGGCTGCACACCGTCATGGACTCTGATAAGGTGCGTGTTATTTATAACTTTTGCTAGCTAATTCGTCCGCACTGAGTTGAAGAAAAAATGAATAAGTAGCCGATACCCTCTTCCAAACTATCCTCTACATCTATACCAAATTTCATCGAAATTCGTTTAGTCGTTTAGGCATCACTCTAACAAACATCCATCTATATAAAATTTCGCATTTGTAATATTAGAATGACAACTAGCTTTTGCTTGTTTATTCGTCTGCGCTGAATTAAAGAAAATAAAATATTAAGTAGCCTATGTTTTTGCAGACTATATCTGTGACAAATTTCATCAATCATTAAGCCTTTTTTTGATAACGTGGTAATAAACCATCAATCCACAGTTTCGCATTGATATTAGTAAGATTTTATCCATCTAGGATATATGATAGGACTAATTGAATGATATGTCCAGGTGCTGGTGATGGACGCGGGCCAGCTGGTGGAGTTCGACCACCCGCACCTCCTGCTGCAGCGCAGCGAGGGCGTGCTGCGCTCCATGGTGGACCAGACCGGCCGCGCCATGGCAGACACGCTGGCGCGCGTCGCGCAACAGGTCACTACATCTACGAAACTATAACATAAAATAATGACTAGTATTCGTTTAACCACTACTAGTGTCCTGGGCGAGATTCGTAGTAACCCTTTTTGCTAGGGTGGGAGGGACTAATTGTCATGTGTAAGACTATTAGTCGCGTGTTTTTTTATATCGATGATTATGGTCAGTCAATATTGACAAATAAATGGCGAAATAAGGACATTTGGCCGTGTTAGAGAAGGTCTGCTGTCGCGGTTACTTTAAATAAATAAATAAAACCCGAATAACTGTTTGCATAGTTTAGTTTGTCTTTGCCCACTGGGTCAGATCCAATTAAATATCATAGTTACTAAAATTATTATCATTTCATATTTGTTTTTTTTTCATCAGGCATACGAGAGCAAATACCCAGCGCAGTCGGGGACAGCTGTTGAATAGATGTACATAGTGACGAGTGTGACGCGTATTTGTTCCTACACTGCGAAGTTCGCGTGCGCCGCGCTCCGCACCGCACCGCGCACTGAACATAGCTGCGGACTACAAACGTTAATATAAATATGTACATTGCCACTAGAATGTAATGAAGGCGCAGGGCGTCAATACGACTCACAAAATCATAACACTATGACTTAAACGTATTAGGTTCTTTCATACGTTTTACTCACACTAATTCCAAGATCTGATATATTCATAGATGCAACAACAATCAGTTTCATTTGAACAGCACAAACGGTACAAAATTGGTTTACAATCTATATTTATCCCAAATGAAATTTATTTTTGTTGCATTTCTTACAAAATTCCTTTAATTCTGTGATAGCAAAATCTCAATTGATAAAAAATAGAAAGACGTGCCTTCACAAACTACAATAATTTATCTAGATAATTATTTATTTACTAAAACAAGAACCGTGATCGCCCGGATTCTAGATACGTTTAAATCACAAATTATAATGACTGCATCACTTACCTAGCGGCTGCCATTTTAACTATGTTTGTTAAATAATTTATTATAACAAAATTAATTTTAAAATTTACAATTCGATTATAGTTTTATGCATGGTTTATTTATAAGAATAGATTAATACTTGTAAAGCTGATATGATTACAAACTACTAAATGTGCTGGTGAATTCAAATACTTTTAATTAAAAATAATATTAAAAATAAATATCAATTTTATGTTAATTCATAAATATAAATTTTTCCGTTCGTAATCTCTACGGACGATAGTTTTGTGTGACGTCACAACACGCTCAGGCATCGTGCCTCTCTGTCGCTTGTCGACGCTCTCGCTCGCACTGCGCAGGAACAAGACGAGACACTTTCGTGCAGTCGAAGTTCATTTTATAAGACGTTCCCATTAAAAAAAGTCTCGTTACGAGATATCTGGTCCAATATCACGTGTGTTTTGTGTTTACATTGTCTTAGTAACGCGGTGCTAAACTTTTTGCGTACTTAATGTTAAGAGGTATGCAAGTGTATGTAATTTTCAGTAATTTTAGAAAATTATAGAAACCAATGATTTTACTTATACAAAATTACTTATTTTAACGTATGTACTTATTTCGAATGTGTTAACAAAGATTTAATGTAAAATTAATTATTTAATTATGTACTTAGCGATATATCGAATATTGAAATTTATCGAATCTTAATTTTTTTTTCTCAATAATGTGTATAATTTTGTGTGATGTGAATTTAGTGAGACGTTTGTATTATTGAATATTGTGGAAACTAAGAATCTGTTATTTGTTGATTATTGCAACATAAATACATTTTTATATTTACAATGTATGGAGTTTTATTTATTTTACGAAAAGTTTTTTCAGCTAAAAAAAATAGACAAGTAGTTTAATTCGTTTATTTTCTTTTCTTGTAGATCCACAATAGACTTAGCAATCTAACATTTTTATAAAAAAAACTTTCTTCGGAATGTGACGAGTACATTATAATACTAAAAAATTATATTACTACATTAACCATTTGCTTACGATGTGCGATACGAAGTGACAGCTCTTCGCCGCCGATACAAAATTCATTATTTACAACAATCTTACGTAATAACACGTTTCAGTATCAAATAGGTAAAAGAATAACTTCCATTTACACATTACAATAAAGTAAGGCCATTAAAGTTCTTTACACATGCACATATTTATGACCGAACACAATAATCCAACTCTCAAAGTAAACAATTATCTGATCGATATTCTCAATTGCAGGAATACAAAAATTAAATCAAGTGTGACCGCTACTATTATAATCTTTGAAACGGTTTATTTAAGAAAAATTTTACTCAAATTATTAAAAAATATCTCAGACGAGGAAAAAATATTCGAGATGGATTGTGTTCGGACATGACTACATACATATCAATACATTGAAAATTTTCAAATTCATACATCGCTTTACTTCTATACATTATCTGCCGACTTACATTTTACCTTCTCACATATCACAGTCCTGAAACCATCGCTAGTTACATTCCCTCAGTCAGCGCACCTCACAGTTACAAATAAAGGAAGAAACTTACATCTTAGATAGAGGTTCTTAACACCCTGGTCGATACAATATAGTCATTGGACAGACATTTCAAATAAACTAAACTAAAATTAAGTCAACTTACAACAAACTTTGCGCTAGCAGCATGAAATAAATTAATTTCTCAAATCAGCTCTCGATCGAAAAGTATAGAGATAAATAAAATAAATAGGACAGACGACCGAAAAATACTTTTTTTTTAACTTAGATTAATTGTCATGACATAATTTCCCTTTGGCACCAGAAAGAGATAGATGTGAATGAATTTATCGCCGAAAGAATGATGCTGAGATCGAAGAAAACTGTATACAGAATTCGAAATTTCATTAAGTTTAAACATTTTAATCGGATGTGATACAATTGTTCGTGTAATACAAAACTAATATCTATTCACAGTCTTCGTAGTGGAGTCCGCACACACTACGTACACACACTAGTAGACCAAATATAATTAGTTGGTCACGTGACGTGCGTACTGTACGTACACTGGGCCGTTGCTCACTTGGTCACATCACTAGTTCACATGTAAATAGCTGTTCGCACGCTCGCGTCCTGTCTCACTGCGAGTACACTCGCCCACCACTAGTTCATG